TAAAAAATGCCAGAAAGGAAAAAAAAAAAGTGTTTTCATAAAGGCAGTATTTTGTTGGCTAACACTTTTGCAACTTAGCACATAAAACAAACCCAAAGAGTGAATCTGTCACTGACACAGCAGGTTTTTTCCCTCCTATTTAAAACATTTTGCCACTAGAAAAGCATTCATTAAGGTTCTCTGGGTTGGTTACATAATTAACTCACAATTTAATCACACATTACATCCCTTAAAATTTCAAAAGAATGCAGTGTTTGCTTTGTAGAACTCACTGGCTTCACATGGCTTGAGAAAATAATTTAAGAATCAAACAATAAATAAACTAGAACACAGTACATTAAAAATGACTCTGTTTCTATTAAGTTTCCACAAATATAACTGCATGCTTTAGAATGAGTCCTGAGAACAGAAGGGATTAAAATATAGAGTTTAATTATATCTGATGTATTCTCATTCTCCTTAAACTGATCTTGTGCACAAGGGGATATTCATGATAAAACTCTTGGAAAAGGAAAGAAACCTCCTAACTGATGTTTGCTCATAAACACAGCCAGGCTCACTAATGTCTATGCAACTGCAAAGTATTTCAAAGACATCTCCCTATAGCAGTCAAAGAATGCAGTGGCGTTTTACAAACCTCTAGAGTTTAATTTGTTTATAAAAATGTAATCTTTTGGAGATTGGCATTCCCACCCCCAAGCCCCAGGAAACAGGAAACGAATTGAACTCAGGACCTCCCACTTGTCAGGCAGGTGCCTTGCTGCTGAGCTATATCTCCAACACTTTTTCTTTATAAAAATGAGAATTAAAATTTGAAGAAAAAAAAATAAATCGCATCCTTCTGTTATCGTACTGACAGATGCCAAGAATGCGACTAGAGACATTTAAAAGATCGTTATTAAAAGGTTTCTGTTCCATCTCAGAAATATGATTTGCATCATGGAAAGTGTCTTGTGGGCTCTATGACTGTTAGGTTGGGTAAGGGATTGTTCTGTCACTGGAACTGCTGACTCACAGGAAGGAGAGGTAACACTGGAAGGAGAACAAGGTGCTGACAACAGGATACCATCTCCCCTTCCTCCTGGGAGTCATCAGTGGAAAATGCTGTATCTCCTCAAATAACAGTAAAACCAAGCATTCAAAAGGAAAAAAAAAAAAGTGGTGAAAGAAGGGAGCACAATTTATGTGGATGGTTTCCCTCCATTTGGGCACAAAGAATGGGGAGAAAGTTAGTGAGCAAAGCTACTTAGGAAAGGATCCTAAGCCTGGCAGTGTGGTGCTACAATATGGTTATTTGTGGTGTGTTCTTTGGTATCTTGTATCACTGTTTATGCCGTTTTTTTCATACAAGATCATGAAATACAGAGTATATAAAATAAAAGAAAGAGAAATCCAAAACTAGTAAGCTAAATGGGTCAAATTTAGTGCTATTAGTAGATAGCACACATGATGATTTTCTTTCTTTGTGTGTAGAAAATGGACTGAATATAGGTTTATTTATTGATTATTTAACATAGAGAATTATAATCTATTTATATGTAAGTCATTTCTTTATTTCAAGCCCAAGTTGCTTTTTAAATTTTTTTTTAAATTAAAAAGTGGACTCATTAAGTAATACTTTAAAACTTTCAACACCTTCAAAACTTCCTTAAATCTTACCACACACAAATTGTAAAATAGCAAAAGGGTCAGTAACATAGGTGAGATTTATGAATACCTGTTTGCTTTTGGAAGTGATACATTAAGTCACAACAGTTTGTAAAGCAAGTTGTCCCATGCATTCAAGAAATATGTGAAGTTTTTCTAATATATTCAAGTAAAGATAGAAAGGAAAAACTTTTCCAAAAGTATTTAATGAAGCTCTCATCAAAAGTAGAAAGGAGACTTGCAGAAAGAAACAATTTAAAAAACCCATTTTGAGTATACCGGAATTGTAAGAACTCTGAATAAAATACTATGAAAATATTTAATATATGTACATGTTTTAAATATGCACCCATACATTATGTGTGTGTATGTTTATATATGTGGGAATTTTCATCCTTTTTAATGATCTTTAGTTTGAGAAAAACTAATTTCCTAAAACATTGTTGATGGAAGAATAAATTTTTATGAACTCTCTGGAAGAAAATTTGTCAATATATGTGAAAGGATTTTACCCTAGATAGGACACTACGTTTACCTTGAGGAAACTTTCCCGGCCCCTATGCAACTTATCTGTGGCGCAAAAAGAATTGCAATCAGCTACTCACGCATCAGGCATCCCCCCTTTAGGCACCACCCCAGACCAAAGCTATATTTATGCCCCTCACACCACGTGTCCAGCAGAGAAAGCCAGGCCCCAGCGGTCATGGAGTTTCTCTCTGCATCTTTAGAATAAAGGCCATTTTTACTTTATATTATCTCCCTCTGTGTGGAAAATCCTATCAATATGTAATTCCAGATGCTTGGCATTATGGATCAAGAGCTTTCTTCTGTTCTTATAAATAAATGTAAATGTGCTCATTATACAGGGATAAGCACATTCATTGCTCCATTCTTTATGACAGTAAAAGACGGAAACAAACTCTCTGTCCTCCCCCAAAAGAATGGTAAAACAAATGATACTGTAGCATTTTCATCAAATTCTGCAGCTGATAAACTGGATATAAGAAAATTTAAATTTGTACCAATATGAAAAAATAGTTGACATACATTGTTAAGTAAAAGAAATGCATCTCAGTGCACAGCATCCAATTCTTTGTGAAAAATACAATTGTGAAATCTAGAAATACAGAGAATATCTTTACAATGAGATTATTAACACTGTTTTCTGGTTGAAATCGGTGTGTGAGAATTGGAGGTGGAATGCTAGCCATGCATTTTTATTTTCTGTATTTCAGTGCTTTGGTATCTGGGACTTTGTCAGTCTGTAACCCATACATCTACCACTTTCTTTACCTGGCTTTTATATATTGCTACTCCAATAAGAGTGATAATGCTTAAAAATAAGACTTACTGGCCCTGAATCAAGGCCAGCAGCTCCTGATGCTGTTGGTTTCAAGCCCGAGCCTAAAGAGATGTCTTTCTATGGTCTGTTGGCCATTTCAGAACTTGGGCAGTGAAATGCTCAATTCATTAGAAAGAAATAGCTTGAAGCAAACCTACCCCCCTTCCCCATCTCAGTGAGCAGCTGTGAGCTTAGCAGGCTGTGGTGCTCCAGGACGGGAGCCCCCAGCATTTACTGGGACCCATGCCATGCTGGGACCAGAGCGCCAGGAAACCAAGCAACCTCTCCCCCGCTAGTGAGCACCGTGGCCCAGGACAGAAGCCACTGATGTTTACTGGGACCGGTGCCATGCTGGGACCTGGCATACAGGGAAACCAAGCAACCCCTCCACCTTGCCTGTTTTGTTTTGTTGAACTTCAATATACATGAAAGTATGGACAGATATTTTGAAGAGAACGAGAGACTCTACAACAGCCATTAGTGACTTCCCCACTGTCTGGTTTGAAGACCTAAAACACTTTCCTCATTCTGTTTGGGTCAGTTTTATACTATGTTGTTTTGTATGAATTCTCTGTATGTGAAGACATACACAACTATTTGGAAGAAAACAAGAGACAACATGATAGATAGTGAAGATCTCAGGTTGTGTAGCTCTGGAATTTATAGCTCTTACATTGCTTTCTTATGTTCTATTTTGTTCTGTTTTGTTGTGTTTAATTTTATCCCCTTTAAAAAAAAAAAAGACTTATGCCCAAGAAACCATGGAAATTATTCAAATTGGCCAACACTCCATAGCCTGTGCCCTTCCTAAGTCTTCCAGTTCTCGCCATGCTATACCTTGACCCCTGCCCACGCTTAGGGTCATACGTGAAACTCAAGGCCCATGTATTGAAGACTGCACCCTCTGCTTGATGTTTACAGGAGGTGATGTAAACTTTAAAAGATGAGTCCGATGGGATGTCATTTTACTTATGCTCTTCACTGTTGGGGGAAAATACCAGACAATTGAAATCGAAAAGAAGAAAAGTTATTTTGGTTCAGTTTCCAGAGTTTGACTGCTTAGTCAGCAGGCTCCAGGCAGAAAGTGGAGAGATGCTTACGTCGTGGGAGCCAGGAAGGTGGGAGTGAAGGGCCCCGGAGCGGGAAGTGAACTCTCCCCACCATGTTCACACCAAGGCTCACTTCCTATGGGGACATTAGGTTGGGTTAATTCACATCATCACCACAGTCCAATCATTTCCCAGAAGGTCCAACTCTGGGTGTGTAAGGCTTCTGGGGGACACTGCACTTCAAAATCTCAATAGTCCCTACATGTCATAGTGTGATCCTGCTCTTGAGAACTACAAAAACCAAAAAATAAAGAATAAAAAAAAAAAAAACTATAAATACCTAGTAATTGCAACATTCGTGCCAGTTTGACTATAAATCATGATTATCATCATAATGATAATTTTTAAAGTACGGTAGGGAATAGGATATCTTTTATAATTGTATTAATATGTTCACATTTATGAGTTTTATCTATTTAAAATAAACGATATATAAAAGAAGCAGCTAAATTTCATTACATATTTATAGTAGCCAAAATCTGAACATAAATGTCTGTTCTTACATAAAAGCAAAAAAAAAAAAAGTATGTTGGGAAAAACCCAGCATCAAATTTCAAACTATAGCTATAACAAATCACAAGAAACTAATAAATCTTTGCGAATAAAAATACAAACTTTTTCCAGTGGACAAAATGAATATAGGAAAATAACAACAAACAAACAGAATGAGTACAGGAAAAACCTCCAAATAAGTGGAAAGAAAGATACTTTACACGTGGGTATACTTGTCATTTAAAGAAAACAATATTTCTTGTAAAATGCCCAATGAAAATCCAGTGCACTGTCAATTAAAGTTCCTACTAGTTGTTTTAAAATCCAAAAGAAAGTTTGAGAGTTCAAGAGTAGCCAAGTCCACCCCCCCCCCCCCCGCATTACTAAATTTGACTGGCTTTAAAAAAAAAAAAAAAAAAAAAAAGAGTAGCCAAGTCATATTTGAATAAGGTTAAAGAAAACTCTTAGTTTTCAACATTAAGAATTAAAAAACAAACTATTTTAAGATGGTATCTGAGAGTGCAATGATGGATTAATTAAAAAGAGCTAAAAAATATTTGTAAGGAAAATTTGGAGTCATATCATTACAAATCAGCAGGAAAGGATGTGACCTAGTTAAAAGTGCTTATCAACAGAAAGCTAGAATCAAAGCTGAGTCTCTGCCTTATAATTTTCCTGTAGCATTTGATTCCAATAAGTGATTATAACTTTTATATTTTAGAAATAAATATTTGTAGGTATTTTGATGATACTTGAGTTGCATGAACTATAAAGAAAAAGGAAAAAAAAAATTCTGACTTAGTCCTCCCATCTCCTGGAGTTAAATTGTTCAGTGAATTTAGGGCTCAAAGATCCCCATCCCTATTCTAAGAAAATTTAATGCAAAATACTTTTGATTTGTACAAAACTTTTTTAAGGAAAGGAAACAAGGCAGAATTTTCTCAGGTTTACAAGTGAATAACTGAGTTACAAAGCTATTAAACTAACTACTACAAAGCTATTTCACTAACTAGGGGTATGTTATGTTGTACTTCACAACTGAGATACAGAATAAAATTTGTATTTTAAAGAGGAGAATAATATTTTACAAGACTATACTGGACTGAAAGAGAATGACAAAAGTATTCAATAATCACAAATCACAGCAATATAGAAAAAAGTTGACACTCATACTGTGGTATACAGCAAAACTTGAATTTGAAGAAAAATAAACATATTATGACTGCATTTTACATCCAACCACTTCAAATTTACTTTACAACCAGCACAAAATACTTCATAGCAACATTGTAACAGAAACCTGGGTACATGGAAAACCTTCAAAGCAAAACTGGCTATAATACTCTATTAAAATATACATTAGATTTGGATTGCACCTGCGTTCACCAGACTGGAGAGATCTTTTCTGTGTGTATTTTGCCTCTTGAACACAATCAGAGGTACCACAAATAATCCTTACTAAAGAAGAGGATTACCAAAGCTCTTATAGCTGTTTAAAAGAAACACACATGTCCTGTATTAAAAAGAACACACAGGCCTTCCTGTATTGATTTTTCCTGAAAATCAAAACAGACCTTTCTCAGGAGAGGAATGACCTGTTCACAAATACCATAAAACAAACAGATTAAGAGGGTGAGAAGCATTTTTAAAGAAATGGTCAAATCAGAATTAATCTTCTCCAATACCTCTTCCATAAGATTTAGAGTATTTGCGTTTAAAAATATTACTTATAAATTAGAGTACCTCGAAGGTTATTTATTTTTATTACCTCTCGTAAATGTGTATGTCCCTGATATGTAACAGAACACCAGAAATATACAAAATTTCTCTCTACTGAGGGAGACTCTGTTGGAGTAAAAATATTGTAAGATGTTTTTCTCTTACCATACATATATGTTTTTCTAAATTGTGTTTATCACTAGATCTCTATTGCTTTGTTTTAAAATCAAATTTAAAATCTTAACCACTATTTGTAAAAGTAAGCATTCACATTATGCCAAGACCTGAATTAAGACATGAGTTATGTAAGTTATATAATTTTCATGTTACCCTCACCATGTGCATCTCAGTATACTAGTAGCAGTACAGAATTGCAGCTTGTTTAGTAAAAATTTCCCTAACTCACACAACTAGTAAGTGTTAGGGCTGAGAATCAAAACTTTTCTTTTTGACTTAACAACAATCATTATGTAATTGCATTCTCAGTTATATCACTGTGTTTATTTTATCTCTGCTATCTAAAACACTTTTAATTTTAAGCAGACTAACTTACTGGCCTCTGCACACTCACCACTGTACTTTTCTAGCAGTCTTGATTCCTAGACACCTAAACCATGGCTACCTTGTTATCTCCAATGGCTTCAAGCACCATATTGTAAACCCAAATATGGAGTTCAGTCATCCAAGTATTGTAATCCTCTTCTTAGTTTTCCTCACAATCCAAAAGGTTATATTTGTAATCCCAATGAGACATTATTAGAACCTCAGCAAGTTAATTCCAATCTACCACCAATGCAATCTGTGACAAAAATAAAAACACCATTCCAAGTTAAGGTCAGCCAAGAGGTCCTAAGTCCAATACTCCTGAGGACATGCTGACAAAGGCCTTGATCCTAGGCCTCCCCCAGTATTTATTATCTTGTGAAAGAAGGGGGGTGGCTCAGGGATGAGTGACAGTGAGCATGTAAGGAATTACTTGAATAACTTGAGCTGGCTAGCCAGGTGTAAAAATGACATCTCTGTAAATTGCAGAGATAAAGATAGGCAAAAGATAATCCAATTAAAGTAGCATTAGGATTGTTTTGGGAGACTGTAGCTTTGGTTTTAGATATGCAAACTATTGTGCCCTGGGGAGTCATAGCCTCTTATTTTGAGGCGCTTATGCAGTTGACGCGCATGGAGCTATTGGCCCTAACATCTCACATGTGCTCATGTCCTGTATATATTCTGTACTCTATGGAGAACACTATGTGAGGAAACAGGACAGTCTGTTGGCTTTAGAGACTACATATTAGCACCTCAGCTAACCTTATTTACAATGCTTACAGCCAATTCAAGAGAAAAAAAAAAAAAAAATACCCAGCCAGCTTTTTATATATCAGTATAAGGAAATGAGTCTCCAAATAATCAAAGTCACAGTAATTGTTTTGCATTCAAAGGAAGTCACTGAAGTTGTCTCTCACACACCAGAAATTCCTGCATGGTAAAGAAAAGGAATCCTTCACATTCTTTGGTTAATCAAGCTCCCTCATTGTTTCTGGAACCACCTGTTCTCCTCAGATTTATTTCAAAGACATTGGTATTAAGATTTGCTGTCTGGAAGGAAAAAGAATTTTAACACTTGTATATTCAACTCATTTTCATTATGATGGCTGGTTGTTTTGGCTTCCTGAAAACCTTACATAGAAAACTAAGCTAATCAGTTTTTTATTCGTTCAGGCATATGGTGAATCATATTAATCATACGCAATGTGGCTTTATTCTTTTTAAAACTGATTCTTTAAGTAAATGATATTTTTTTCTTTTGCCCTCATAGGTTCTGAGTTTTGGTGAATACTTGAAATGAAAATCATTGACTAAAGAAAAAAGAATTCTATCAGCATATATCTTCTATATATACAAGGGAGAAATCCAGGGAATTTAAAGTCAGCAAAAATGTGGCTTTGAATTTCAGCTGGTGGGGCAACTTCTAAAAAGTGAAGCAAATCTTCAAACAGACAATGCAAAAAAGTATCTTTGTGTCTCTAAAGACAAAAAATTGGGGAAAGGCAAATAAAGGCTATTTGGTAAATGGTTATTGTTCTAATTTTCAGAGCATCAAGGATTTAAAGTTCTCTTCTCGACTCACCTGGTGGAGGAGGGCGTGTACAATCATCTTTGCCTTTGTGGCTTTGTCTGCAGCATCAGGCAGCTAAAGGAACAAAAGGCCTTCCTGTCTCCACCTTCATCTCAACAATTTTCTTTTAGGATTGCATTTTATGATGTACCACAATTCAAAAAGAGAAAACAGATTAAAATTCATAATCTTCAAAAGGTGACATTAAAAGCGAGTTTTTAAATTCTAATGATTAAATGGAGAATTAAATTGTACATCTGTGTACATATATTTGTATGATATATATATATATATCATATATATATATACTCAAATGTAAGAGTCAAATATCTAGCAAATATATTTAAGTAACAAATTTGTTTAGAATTCCTATATAGAATACATACATATGCATATACAAAATTTCATATATATATATATATATATATATGCAATTTATGTTTGGCTCATAATTTTAAGTAGATTATGTATATGTGCACCTCTCTAAGTAAACACTCTCCCAGTGTATGTAGAGATTTCATCTACTGGGGTTGTAGGACTCTTCTATAAAGGATTAGTCAAGGTTAAATATAATGTCATATGATTTGCACACTTGTGACGAAAAATTTAAGAATTTTTAGGACTTTGAAATTTCTAGTTGAAATGTAAAACTTATATATTCAGTTTTGCTAAAAGAGCAAAGGAAAAGCAACTGAACATTTAGAAATAAGTGGGCTCATTTACGCAAGTTTCTTTAATCTTTTCTATTTCAGTTTTCTATTTGATGTGATGTTTTTCTCCAGATTTATTTCCAACCAAAAGACAAGCACAGCACTTTCCACAAAGATATAACTCATTGAAGTTTTGCAGTTTACTGGAGACATTTAGGTAGGAAATTTCCTTTCCCCATTAAGCTGGGTATCTCATTTTATCTTATTGCACTGGTTTTTAAAACCTCCTATTTGCCAATACTGTCATTAAATTTGTTTTAAATATTTGATATTTGTACCAAATTGCCAAACATTTTAGAAAATTTTACCAACATATTTTTAAAAATATTTTCAAAAATGTTCTTTTTGGTAGATGAGTGATTTTTTTGGATAAATTTCCCTTTCCAATTCCTAAAACAACCCCTGTGGATGTTAATAAACTGCCTTCAAAGTTAAGGAACAGACGCTGAATAGAGAAGACTGTTGCCATAGTGCTGCTCACTGGTGAGCTGAGAATTACCTCTAATGTGAACAATTAATATATTCATCCAACAAAAATTATGTACATCATCATATGCATTTGCAGACATGGTAAGTAATGCATTTGTAATTTATACGCTCTTATTTTGCAGAAAACGTACAGTAAGAATGAAATAGGTTAAGAGTTTCTGGTGTTGTACTTCCCCCGTTTCTGGGGATTGGACAGACTTCCACCTCCCTTCCGCAGACAGTGCTTCCAGGAGGAGCCATGACACTCACCATGGCAAACGACCTCCATTATGACTGGGTTAGAATTGTGGGCTATGAGAAGTTTGATCAGTCAGGACTGATACAGTGAATTTTCCTCTCCTGAGTGAGTGACAGATTCTTAGACTCCCCCTGAATCAGAACACAGAACCATATTTTTTTTTACAGGGGGCTTGGTATTAGCAGTCAGTGGAATCAAAGTACCAGTTGACACTACCAGAGGGCACTGAATAAGGATAAAATTGGTACTCAGCTGTCTCCAGTTGAGCCGTGAGTATCATACGGCTACATATGCAAGTCACATCAGCTAGATAATTTCCTCCACTTTCCTGCATTTCCTTTACTTTCTATTTAGAGACAAGTGTAAACTCAAATATTAGGTTATTGCCTCAACCAAAAATTGTTCAACCTGGTACAAAAAAAGAAGTACAAACATGGTCTAATTTCTAGTCTAGATGTTTTTAAATTATAACAATGGCAGGTTTGACATTGTTTTATTGAATTTAACAGCATACTCTTTTTTGATCTCTCTCTCTCTCTCTTTTTTTTTTTTTTGTCTTTTTTGCAGCACAAGACATACTAAGCAGCAGCTTTATCAAATGAGATTATTGTAGGTGGCGATGAAATTCCCTAATGTCCTTTTGCTGTACTTGAGAAACAAACATATGTTTGCAGGACTTCAGGTTCTGCCCATCACTACCAGAGACCACTGAGGAAAACATCTTAGCCTCAAGACCTTTGTCAGCCTGAACATTATCACCCAAAGCTAAGGACAGTTGAATGAATGAATGACAGAATGAATCCGTAATGCATACTTGGCTTACATTTGGTATCAACGGACATAATTGTGAAAAAAGTATTTCATGTTAGTTTTAAAGATTTACATTTCTTTCTTGTAGTCCAACACAATGTAGATTTGGGGTCCAAATCCTACTTTGATTCCAGGAATGCATCTAACATATATTATATCTGCTTTGTATTTGTGATCCTTAACCCTGCTGTGGTGGATACACACTCCAAGACACTTATACATTTTGTTCAGCTCAGAAAAACTTATCCATGGATTTTTTTCTCAGTGTGATAAAGTTTGCATTGTTTTCTTCTTTCTTTCCTTCTTTGTGTTTGTTTGTTTCTTTCTTTCTTCCCTACTTTCTTTCTTTTGCTTGATTGCTTTTTTTTTATGCTTTCTTTCTGTGTTTTGCTTAGCAAGTAACAACCAAACATGGCATAGGATTTATTTTGCTCTTGATGAAACATTTTCCAACTGCACCTAATGTCTCAAATCATCTGATTGGTATTTAATCTTTGTCATATATACACACAGCTAAGGGAAAGCACCCTTTTTGTGCTGGTTGATAATTAAATCCAAAGTTTCCTTTTCCCCATCTTTTTTTTTTTTCCAATTTTTATATTACATTAGTCCATGTTTGCAGTGTCTAATGGTTGACTTCCTCTTGTTAGTTACCTACAGGACATGTCTTGATTCTTTTATCATTCTTTTGCTTTCTCTTTCTTCTCTTCTTCTATCTTTTGATTCTCTTTAATTTTGCAAAAGCTCTATCTGTCTAATATTATCTGGCTTTTTTGTTAGTCTACCTTTCTAGTTTAGGTTTCTCACATAACAGAAACTGCATGATATTTAAGCCTGTATATCTGATCTACTTTACCTAATATGATATCTATTTTCCTACAAAGGACTCAAATTTATCCATCTTTATTGAATAGTAATGCTCCACTGTGTATAGATACCATGTTTTCTTTATCAATTCATTATCCATTCATCTGCTTATGGAAAGACAGATACTGCCTATCTTTTTTTTTTTTTTTTAATCAGAATTTCCCCTGTATTCATCAGCATCACTGAGTCTCCTTCTCACCCACTGCTGAGATTTTGTCACCTGTAGAGCTACTTGACTATGTAACTGGCTTGCTTTCAGAGAAAGTCTGGAGATAAATGCAGCAATGCCCTCTCTGTAGTCTTCCCAGAGTTGCTTCTTTACTTGCAAGTCCCCTCTACATGAGCCACAAGCCCTGCACCCAAACCCAGCGCTTTCTGCACATGCCTCCTACATTTTGGCTTTATCCAGGGATGCTGCTTTTTACTCTCCTTGAGATCCACAACCTTTGCTTCATATTGCAACACAAATAAGGCTGAGACATGCAAATGTAAGCATTTGAATTTATTTACTATGCAGAGGTCCCTGGGGAACTTTTATCACTGATGGCGAAGAAAACGCTGCAAATGACAAACTGTCTAAACCCTAAGTTTGCCTTATTTGCAAAGCGTGTTCAATCGTTGTAGATGTAAAATGTTCAGGCACACAGCAAATTCAGGTGGAGTGCAGACAACCTCGGAGACAATGGTGCAAAATACTGTTACGGTTTTCCTCATGACATACAGCACCACGATTCCCTGAAAAATTTCACTTAAATCCTGTTTGGGTTTGAACATCTTAACTTCATGTAAAGTAAAACATGTCTTAAAAGAAGATTGTTTCCAGTGAGTTGAGAGAAAAGGTAAAAACTCCATTGTGATTTGTTTCATATCTGTTTCTCAGAACAGACAAGCTCATAATCAAGCTATAAATTAAAATGTGTGAAATTCTACACTGTAAACATCTTTGGACCTTAGGTCTGTTAATTTAGAAAACAGATTTTATAAAAGTGTGTTTATTAGTGAAAGAGTATACAAGCAAGTGAAACCTATAAAATGCCACTATAAGGGGCTGGGGATTAAGCTCAGCGGCATAAGTATCTGCCTTGCAAGCAGGCAGTCGTGAGTTCAATTCCCGGTACGGATAAAAAGAAAAAGAAAAAAAAAAAAAAATACCACTATACTTAAATTTTTGTTTTAAGCTTGCTCCAAATATCTCCAATTAACTTCTGCTTCAAGTTCTTCATATTGACATTATACTATCAAATTGGCTGATTTTGCTTAGTATTTGATTGGTTTGAATAAGAACATTATGCTTACCCGAGTAAGAACCTCCCTCTAAAGGCTGTCCACACTAACTCAGCGCTTGTGGCTTTGCTTACTATTGTGAACTGAGTAGATCTGATGGTGGTAGGGCCCTGATATCAGGGTTGTGGGGTCAGATCCAGATGGATGGCCTCACACAACCAAAATCATCCTGTAGGATGACTGCATGTGACAGCAGCATCACAGAAGGAGATGGATTGATCGAAGGAGGGGTGATCAATGGTTGGGATGGAGGTTGCTGTACTCTCAGCTTTATTGAAAAGAGAGACAGGGACCACAGGCTAAGAAATGTGGGAACTACTAGAACTTCAAGTAATCAAGAAAGCTGATTTCCCTCTGAATTCTCCAAGAAAGGAACGCAGCCCCCACTGGACTTTGATTTTAGTCCAGTGATACAAATTTTGACCATTGACCTCTCAACTGTAAGACCTTAATCTGGGTTGTGTTCTGTCAGTAATTTTGTTTCAATTGGTCAGTGCCAAGAGGAATCTTAGAGTATCATCCTGACATACATTGAAGAATTACTTCTACTAAGTAATGATCCTTCTTTTGTGAGTTTCAATTTCAGACCACATGTTTCTTCTTACATGTGAGTTGTTGTCCAAAATAATAATTTCAAAGAAGTATTCTAAGAATACAAAACATAGGTGGTATAATAGTTAAAAACTAACCTGATGAAAAATTCTAATCAACTTAGTGAGTGAATCATTGTCACGTGTTACTTTAATCCATGATCCCCAAGTCACTGTCAAACTTCATGAACTGAGCTTATGCTCCTTCCTATAGGATAAGTGATTGCTTGACCAATAGAATATAATAAAACTGAACTCTAGGACAGTGTGTGGGCCAGTTTACAGAACCGGTAGTTTCTACTTCCTGTATTTTAGCACGTATCTTTTGGAAATCACCTCCCATATATTGAGCAGTCAATCTGGGGGAAGATCAAATGGGAAGGAATCAGCAGGTGATAGTAGGCGGTCAGTTATGGCAGAGTCACTTTGGAAATAACTCTTTAAAGCCAATTAGTCAGTTGGGTAACGTCCAAATGATGCAGCAGAGAGCACAGAGGGGCTGTCTCCATCACGACCATCCCAAATTCAGATTAAGAACAACAGCAGCAAAGGATGGTAGTTGTTCCACCAAAGCAGAACCTAAGGTACATTTCAAATAAGGTAGTTATACAGTAAACTGTATTATAAACATGTACCTCTGTATTAAAGTCATCAAACCTGGGAGTCATCATGGAGTTTCTGCATTGAATGGAAAGTATTTAAATGATTTGGTTATGAACGACATAAAAATATGAGAAGAATGCCACTAATTATTTTAATGACTGAAACACACACAAAAAATTCTTAGTGACATTTAAAAGTGTTCAGAAGCCAGCATTTGTAAGATGGTGATGAAGCGTATCATAGCATGTGTTCATCCCATAAGTAACTTGGACAGGTGCTGCTTGCAAATAAAAATGTGCATCCCACCTGTCTTGTAGTTCTGTATACACAAAGCCACAAATCTCCATCTGTGTCACTGTAATAAAATGCATCCTGTTATCATATGCCTAATGTTAAACCGAAATGAACAATCTACAAATTCGTTGGTCTATCAGCGCATCTGTTGTCGTGTCTCTGTTGTCTGCAAAAAGAAAACATACATCTATTTATTTATTTCAGGTTATTCAATGTTAATTCACTTGTTATTTCAGATTGTGCAAGATAAATGTAAAAGTATAAATGACAACAATGGCTGTCATTTTAGATACAGTGTATTCTTATGTCTTGAATTCTATAGTGTGTCTTTACCTTAAAACACCTGCCACATCCCTCCGGTATTAATGAATATGTCCTCATAACTAGGTAGACTTAAAATTTCATGAAAACCTTTCTCATATTTTTAGTTTTTACTCCGAAATAGAAAAAAAGAAACCAATGTAAGAAAAACTTAGTTTGTCGTATGACTGCATTTTATTTTGGTTTGGGAATGCAGTCCTTTCCATGAATTTTTCTTCTGGTTGTTGCTTTTGAACAGATTGTATGGAGTCTTAATTCACTGAAATTTGACTGAATTTTAAATTAAAGGGCTAAAAGTTCCTTCACATTTGTTACTTGTCATCTTTTATAAGGTTGTGTCATGCCCAGACTGAACCTGCTGATGAGGAACGTTGATCCCTTATTATTGAGAGTGACAGTTGCTTTGGTCCTTTTTGTCCAACACAGATTACTTTATGATTAAAGCAATTTTAATCATTGCTATCACATTGAAGCTATAACAAGCATATAGTACAGTGATTATGGAAAATTACCATAATTTTATTCCTTTGTTAGATATCAAATTCTTTGAAGAAAAGAATATTTCAGACCTAGAATAAATTGAAATATCTCCTGTAAGGTATTTCCAAATATCATAAAGATAATGCTTTTATTCTTATTTCCAGTGTTGATTATGGAATTGGCTGAGGAAGAAGATGATTACCTTGCCTGTGGATGGGCAGCCTGATCATTGGCCTTTCTCTTTGCCATTGATCTAAGTAACAGATTCTTGAAGGTAAACTCCAGCCAATTTTTTACTACTTTAAGTCGTGTTAACATATCCAATAGCCCAATGCTAACACTGCTCTCAGTTTGAGACAGTGGTCTAAGCAGACCTTATGTGCCCAGGTTTGACATTCAAACTCACTCCAGCTGAACCATCTCAACCAATTATCTGAAGTAGGACCACCCTACTGAAGTGCTAGGGCTTAGCCAGCTTTGAAATTGGCCTTGATTGCAGAATTGAAATCAGCATTGTTGACAGCCATCCTCCATGACTGTCAGATCCATTAAGTCAGAGGCAGCTTTGGATAACAATCCTGATACATCAGATAGGTTTCTTAGTGATTGCCAAAGCTGAGCCATGAAAGCAATAGCAGCTTCTGTCTTTATCTTTTTTATTGGGGGAAGCTTGCAATCTTCTCTGAGGATAGCTCTCCAGGACTTAGAAGAGGAGTGAGTGGTGAGAATCTGAGACCACAGAAGCTGATGTGGTAAGTGATCTCAGGAAGATGACTCAGTTGAGAGTGAAGAGGGTGAGCAGATGTCAGTCTACAAATATCCCTCTGATAAAGAGAATGGGAGAGAAGAAAAAGGCAGAGAGACAGACAGACAGACAGAAAGAAAGACAGAAAAAAGAGAGAGAGAAAGAAAGAAAGAAAGAAAGAGAAAGAAAGGAAGAAAGAAGAAATCAAAGAAAGGAAGGAAGAAATCAAAGAAAGGAAGGACAGAAAGAAGAAAAGAAAGAAAAAAAAGGAAGAGAAAATCAAATTTTGTGTGTCAAAAATATCCATACTAAAAATTGTAAGAATTTACTTAAACAACAAACTGCCAATTACTCAATTTTATTTAAGAGCTTAGTAGGTTAAGAACACAGTACTACATCTCAAGATTACAGTCTCTAGTATTCACCTCACATGCGGCCAAGGTGGAGAAAAAAGATGAGGGAAAAGCTGTCATAGTTAGTGGTCAAAGGTCTAAGATGGAAAGATTTGAAGGGACAGAAAATAGAAGCAGACTCTAGATGTGACCTTTTTATCACGCCAAGAGTAGGAGGCACTGACATACTGATTTCCACGTGGGATAAAGGCTAAGATCTCAGCCAGAGCTTTGTAATTAAAGACTTGGTCCTGAATTTTGAGGTTACCGATGTTAAACACAAGTATCCTTTACTTCATCTAAGAATATTGCTTAATTGCAATTAATTCAATGACTGGTTGCCCTATAACTCTGACTGATAAAATATATTTTTAAGTATTATAGTTATCCCTAAATATCCATGGTCCACATCCACAGATTCAAGGCAAAAGGAATGGAACTGCTCAGAAAAAATATTGTGTCATTACTGAACAAATACAAACTTTATTTATTCATCTTTATTTCCTAAATATAAGGTAAGAAATTTGCATGTATAGCATCTACAGCATATAAATTTCCACAAATAATTGAGAAATGATCCGAAGTATATGGGATCATGTATACTGGCTATATATGACAGTATTTTATCTCCAGATTTTGATATTCACATGCATTCTGGGACCAATCCACTACTGCTACTAAGACACAACTGTATTTTTAAAAATTAAATTTATTATCTGTTTAAAGTAATTGCAAATCAAGATGTATGTTCTTTTATGTTTACCACAAGTCTAGAAAAAAGTCAGTCAAGATTAACTCATTTTAGAAGATCTGATTTAATTCAGGCAACCTTTTCCATTTACAGAAGGGGTAGGGCAGGAAAAAGTTGGAAGACAAAAAATTTTTTTTTTGTCATACATTTTGGAAATGTATTCTTGAGTCATACTACTCCAAAAATAAAGTTCGTCAGTCAAATATCACCATAAAGCTTGGTGATATTTCCCTCTCCATCTCTAATTTTAAACTGGTCTTTGAAGTGCTTCACCCTTGTTATGGCTTGTGTCTAGGTATCCCCCCAAACCTCATCTGATCATAGGTGAGCTTTTCAGAGGTGGCTGGGTCCAGAGTATGTGATGCTGGGATCAAGGGTGTGTGGACACGAACTCAGTCTACTGATTTGTTTGGCAAAGATCTGGGAGTAAGTATCAGGGATACCACCCCTGGGTGTGAATTTGCCACTCACCCTGAGGGGTAGTAGCCTGGCTAGAATACAAGACATAAAGAAGGCTGTGGTGGTTCTCTGTCACATACTGCTGGCTGTTCACTCACCACCCTGCTGTCCTCTGCTTTGCAGGAAGTCTTGCTCCTCTGCACCGCCCCCCGCCAACCCACACTACCTTGGAGCCAGCTGATTATTGACTGAAACTTCTAGCAATTGTGAGTGACATGAAACTTTCTTCTTTATCTCTGGGTTAAAGTGGGACAAATTGTCATAAATAGTAAGCAAAGGTCTTAGATGGAAAGAGAGGAAGGGACTTCAGAAAACAGAAGTATAGGTATTTTGTCTTAGCAATGAGGAAAAGTAACAAAGACAACACTCAACATTTTCTGCAGTATGGGAAATACTTGTCAGAATCAATAGCTGGGACCACTTCTTATTAAAAAGTTTCTGCATGTCAAAACAAATCTCCAGCATGGTAAAAAGAAAACCCACAAACTGGGAAAAGATTTTAGTGAACTCTGTCTCAGACAAGGGACTCTTGTATAAAACATATAAAGAATTTAAAAAACTCAGACCCCCAAAATTCAAAGATCCAATCCAAAAATGGGCATCTGAGATGAATACGCACTTCTCAGATGAAGAAATGCAAATGGCAAATAAATACAAAAAAAAATGTTCATCATTATTAGTCATTAGAGAAATGCAAATTAAAACCACACTGAGATATCATCTCACTCCTGAAAGAATGGCCAGGATCAAGAAAACCAACAACAACAAATGCTGGAGAGGCTGTGGGGAAAAAGGAACTCTCCTGCACTGTTGGTGGGAGTGTAGACTGGTGCAGCCTTTGTAGAAGTCAGTCTGGAGATTTCTCAAAAAGCTGGGATTGGAAGTCCCATTTGTTCCAGCTATTCCACTTCTAGGCATATTCCCAGAAGAACTGAAAGCATCATACCACAGTGATATATGTGCACCTATGTTTATAGCAGCACAATTTGTAATCACCAGATCTTGGAAACAACCCAACCTCAGTCCATCAACTGAGGAATGGATAAAAAAGTTGTGGTATTTCTATACAATGGAATATTATTCAGCTATAAAGAAGGATCACATTGAGATATTTATCAATAAATGGCCACAGCTTGAGACCATACTCATAAGTCATAATAAATCAATCTCGCATATGTGAATACCGAATAGTTTCCCTAATGTAAGTAATGATTCAAATATATAAAAATATGTGGTAATCATGATTCCCCATTATGTGGCCTTGAAGCCATATAAAGTTTTCACTTATTAACTGGAAAGGCTTTATTCTAGGCTTCTTGATATGGAAATACTTCAAGCTATAGTATATGAAGTTTTATTCAAATAGTTCAAAGAAAAAGACAGACACTATGGTAACTACTATTAAGTCAGGTTATTTGGTGGTGAACCACTAGGTTGCTGAAACAGTCATGCTTTGACCTGTATTGTTATATTGTTACGTCCTGTTTTATCTCAATCTCTGCCTTATTCATTAAAAAATTATTTAGTTATTTTTATGTTTTTTTAATTAAGGGGAAAAATTTTAAAAATTAGCAGGGTATATAATAGTAACTTTTTTGATTTCCTATTAACTTGTTTTGAAGTCCTGTAATACTCACACTATCTTGTTTTGACTGATTAGACTCTGTTCCACTCTGTATGATAGTATCAAGTTTGAGGGTATAGGCAACTACTTTGAAGGCAATAAGATTCACTAAGATGCCCATTCTGGTTTGACTATTGTCTCCTTTGGAAGTCCTGTAATGTTTACAATGCTTAAGTTTTATTGGTCTTGTTCTCTACTGTTTTGTTCAACTTTATAATATATAATGAGATAGACAATTCTTTTTAAGGAAACAAGAGACATTGTTGATAACCATTGTTGATAACCTTGTACTCTGTTTTATATCATGTGCTATGTCTATCCTTGGTTTGACTGACAGCTTTGTTTTGCCATATTTGACTTTATTCCCCCCCCCCAAAAAAAAAGTAATAAGAACTAAGGAGTAAAAAAACCCAAAATGTGTAAATTTTGTTGTAAAAAAGAGAGGGAAAAAAAAAAGAGTTCTAAATGATACAACAGCAAGAGTGTTTAGGGGTGTTAAATAGCTGACCATATTAATGTTTTTGGTTGGATCATTGAACACAACTGTTTGCAGTCTCACTGTTTGAATGTCCACTTTGTATGCTTTGATACTGTGATTTGAGCAACTATCTCTAAGATGATAATATGTAATCTATTAACTGGTGATTTCTTACTGTTTTTTTTTTTTTTTTTTTGTAGTTCTGTATTACTTGTACCCTTACACTGTTTTGTTTTGTTTTGTTTTTTCTCTTTTTCCTTTTAAATAAAATTTAAAAAAATTTTTTTCTGCAGAACACTTGGGCTCTTTAGGGAATGTGGAACTAATAAATTTATTCTATAGTTCATCAATAAAATCTGTCATCTTACGGTGTACATTCACGCATCATTCTCTTTTAACTTGTGACATTTTCACAAATAACCAGCCTGAGACTGGTGGCTATTATTTTTTTTTTCCATCATGGTTTGATTTTAAAAAATATAATTTTTTAAAAAATAGAATTTTGGGCTGGGGGTTTAGCTCAGCAGCATAAGCACCTGCCTTGCAAGCAGGCGGTGGTGAGTTCGATCCCTGATACCGATAAAAAGTTAAAAAAAAAAATAGAATTTTAATAATCTTTAAAACCAACAAGTGCCATGATGTTAATACATAGACTGCCATATGTAATTGTCTCTGCAACCAAACTGAAGTTACCTATTATGTTTTCAAATTAGAAGAGCTAAAGTACAGTCCAGAAAAGTAAGAAGGCCTAAGTGATGGCCAGAATTAAACTCCCGCTGCTCACATTAAAACCATTACTTGAATGCCTACTTCCCACTCTTCTGCTCGGTATGTTGTTTGATATAAACAGAGATTAATCCTTGAGTGTCTAGTAAGAGAGAAGATTGAGAAAGAACACTCTTGGTAGGTCCCACCTCTTTGTCATCAAACCCTGGAATCTGTCCCCACACTGGGATGTCATGTGTGGAGCAGGATGGCCTTTACTTAGATACCTCAGTGGAGAATGAATAGGGAGAGAATAAAACATAAATCAACTTCACTTTTTATTGTACTTTAGACTGAAAGATTATATATTTTTAAAAATTATTCCAAAAATAATATGGAGATTGTGTTCCACACTCATACTTTGCAGTATACAATATCTGTAGATGATCGATACACACACTGATTGCGTTGCTAAATTTAAAATCTGTATATATTTTATATGGAAACTTTTTTGGTACCAGGAATCAAACTCATGACCTTATGCTTGCCAGGCAGGTGCTGTGCTGCTGAGCTGTGTCCCTGGCTTTTCTAGACTTCCTTTGTACATGTTTTTCTCCACGTTACTCAGATGGATTCTGACACTGGGCTTTGTTCTTCTTAGCAACAGCTTCCAGTGTGGCTTCCTCCGTAAGTTAAGATTGTTAACAAGCAATGTTTAGGTTACAGTTAAATTTATTCTTTTAAATTAGTACAAGTTAGTGAGAGGATGAGTATGCTTATTAGCAGGACTGTAGTAATCATTTTTACAATGTACGTATATCCCCAAAAATGATGCTGTACACTTTAAATGTATGTAATTTTGTCATTTATACTAAAAAAAAAAGAATACAAATCAAATAAGAATATGAGGGAAAAAAGGTGATTTATTCTTTTTAACCCGAAGGCATTTTCTTGATATTTAGTTTTGCTTGAAAATCTCCAATTTGGGATTTCTAAAAATTCAACATAGTTAATATTTTCAGTAAGAATATTACCAATATTTCTGCACGCAAGATTGAAAAAAAGCTCAATTCCAGTTTGTTAGTTTTCACCTATGAATAATATGTGAAAGTACAAAAATGTACCTTTTGTAAATGTTTTTAATTCTATAAACAACATTTTCATACTTTTTAAAACTCTTACCTGTGATTTTAATGTTATCTGTTAATGAAAGAACTCTAGAATTAGAGATCAGAAATGTGTCTTTAAACCTTAGGTTCTGAAAACAGTTTGATTTTAGAAAATTCTCCCAAATTCGGTGAATCTGAGTTATCGTGTCTTACAAAGCAGAGCGTGAGCTAGTTGAGTTCATCCATCTCTACAGTTTTATGCAAGCTGGAAAATTTCCTAACTCGATTCATAGTCTCTTAGTCTCTCTTCATTCTGCCCTGGTCCGCTAAGAAACGTTTATCAAAATTTGAGTCCTGCTTTCAAAAAGGAACAGAAGATCTACTCGTGCGTAGCTTTAGAGAGCCAGGTGTTCTCTGATCTTACGTCATATTGACGCAAATGTGTTTTTAAGTCGTTTAGCTGGAAAAATGGAGTAGTCAGAAAGAAAGTGGAAAGGACAAAAATCAAGTAGACAAGTCATGTCTGTGTTAGTTCTCTTCAGCTTGCTCTTCTGTTCTCAATAAAATCTTTTTTTTTTTTTTTTTTTTTTTTTGTCTTTTTCGGTACCGGGGATCAAACTCACGACTGCCTGCTTGCAAGGCAGGTGCTTATGCCGCTGAGCTAAATCCCCAGCCCTGTTATTTCTTTTTATACAGGCTCCTTGGCTATTCCTAAATTAAGAATGTATTCAAAGCATACAGTATTCTGTCTTTTGACTAACAATTAAATGAGAGAGAATTATTAATGCATGAATCTCTAGCAGTTATCATTGTATGACACAGAATTGCATGCTATACTGTACCAAAAGGGAGGTGTGTGTGTGTGTGTGTGTGTGTGTGTGTGTGTGTACGTCACCAGCTATGATGAGGTTGGAAAAGAGACACAGTGTCATGTCAGACTTCCTTAGCAATTGTGATATTCCACTAAGTGATGTGAAGCATGGAAACTATAGTAGGCAAACTCATAACATGATAAGGGAATGAGCTATTCTTTGCTACTATCTTTGGTTTTGAATCTAATGTGGGATCTCATTTAATGTTTGCAACACTAAAACAGAGTGATATAATTACACAGTAGAAATAAAGTAGACCTATCAAGTGTAGGGACCTCTTTTAAGGTCACAGGAACTAGTGGCAGCAGATCTCCAAATATAAGTCTGAAAAAGTAGCTACTTTCCCATTGATCCTGGGAGCAACCAACTGGCTTGTGTTCAGTGAGTTATAGAAAGTCCTGTCCATATTTCTGTTCAGTGACCTCATCATTTAGATATTTAAAAGTTAATAAAAATATATACTGAGAATAATTTCCACTGAAACTATTTGCTAAAATCACTGATTTGTATTTCCCTAAGCCCTTAACATTCATGTATCGTATTTTATCAAATAAGTTGTCAATTATTGACCTTAAAATTCGATAACATTCCTTTTTGTGATAGGGGTTATGAAAGAGAAGAACAATGATTAGAAATGTAGCCCTCACCTTTATTAACTTATCAGACAAGGATAATTTTAGTAAGATTTAATAAATATAATAAAAAGTGTTGACAGTGGTTACGAGAGAAATGTTTACTTATTCTTATAAATATTCTATTTCTCCACCCCTCCCATCAGGCAATAATAGAGTCTGTGAATATTATTTTCCTTCAGTGGTAGGTATATTGTAATCTACTACATGGCATCTAAGACATATATTGGATGATTAGTAGGCATGTAAACAACTAATTAATTAAATACTTCTTGAGGTGGTTTATGCATATAATTTCCTAGAAGGATGTTATACTACTTTAATGAATGCAGTGAAAAGGCGTGGCATTGTGAAATTTCCTACACTGATATTAACTACCAAAGTATGGTGATTAAACATTTTTCAGCTCATATTTTAATACTCTCCTTTTCAGCATTTCACAGTCATTACCTATCTGCTAAGATGGTGAATTTTTTTGTGTTACCTTCCTGGGACATGGTATCCATGGACTCAGCAACTGGCCAACCATGAATCTAAAAGTTATTTGTGATGGTAAATTTTAGAACAGATTCATGTTTAAGTCAGTGGTTTTAAAGCTAAGTAAGAGTATCCCCTGTAACAGTGTCTCATCCAATCAGCCAAAGACCCTCAGGGAGAAAAACAGAGGTCCCTCAGGACCAAGCTGTCTTCACATTTCAGCTCAGGAGCAGTGTCCAGTACCGTGTCTCTAGAACCTGATTGCTTTACAGATTCTAATCTGCTGGCTCTGGACCTCAAATCAACTTCCTTACATTATCTATCTATCTATCTATCTATCTATCTATCTATCATCTATCTATATCTGCTTATAGATATACTATGGGTTCTACATTTTCTCTGGAGAAACCTATTATATTTGCTATCTATTTATCTCTCCACCATCTGTCTATATCTTTTATGGATACACCATGATTTCTGTAATCTCTTTGGGGAACCTTATTATATTTGCTGTTCTTCCCCTTGTCTTTCCATTTCATTTACTTCAGTAATGAATGCAGAGGTTGAATGTATAACCTCTATATGAATCTAAATCCACAGCCCTTTTATTATCTTATATATTACTTTTAAATTTTTTATTTATTTATTTTAGTTTGAGAAAGAATCTCAGCAAACTAAGATGCCCAGTCTGGAATCCACTCTCAAGCCACTTGCTTCAGTTGATAGAGGGCTGGGATTACAGGTGAGCACTACCATGCCAGGCTTATGTCTGTTTTTGAGCTATTTTTGTTCCGCTTTATGTCCAGTCCTTTCTTTACTCTTTATCTGAGACAGAAGTGATAACTCTTTGCGGTATTGCCCATTTCTCCCTTGAAAACTCAGGAAGCGAGAAAAAGAAAAAACAAAACAAAACAAACAAACAAACAAAAAACCCTTCTTTTTTGTTATTGGGCAAAAGTATAATATGTTTTGTGTGATGGACTATTTTCCCTAAAATATTGTATTAATAGTAAATAGGACAGAATTTGTAGACCTGTTCCAACTCTCATTTATCATATAGCCCTAAGTAAAATAAGCATGTGTAGATATTTTTAGATAAGGTTTCCATAATAATTAAGGTCAATGCATGGGAGGAAAAGTCCCTAGAGTGAGGTTAAAAAGGAATGATCAATATTTTTATTAGCTATTTTACACAGTCAGGAGTGAAATATCAGTGAAAGATTTCCTTTGGTTTTATTAACACTGCTACAGTTAACCTTCCTAAGAATCGATGGAAATTTAACAGTGCTTGGTCATTTTACATTGATATTTTTCCAATGTGCTTATTAGTTGATGCCTCAACGTCAAGATTGTGTCCTGAAGCAGCTAAAAAGATAAAAAGAGCAAACACACACAAAGAAGCCCCTGCTCTATGCGAGAAGGGAATCGTTTCCATGCAACCGAGCCCATGTGCGTAGGTAAGTAACACTTTTCCCAAACTATGATGTGGGCAGATGTTAGCTGAGGACTTGTTGCCCTGGATGAATTTTATTTCAGATCTGTATTTTAAAGCCTTCTTTTTCAGCAGGTATCTCCGGGAGCCAGCAGCATTCTGATGGTGTGGGGATGAACAGCGTTCAGTGGACGCCCCTCCTTTCTGTTTCCACATTGATCACCACAGGCATCCTCTCCATGGGCTCTCAGGGCGAGGCGCTCACACAAAACCAGGTCGGCATTTGCCCTTGGCTCAGCCACCTCGACAGGGGCCGCTCCTCACCGCCTCTGCCCTGATCCAGGATCCTGCGGGGGCCTGAGCCAGTGAGATTCATCTCCTTTCCGCGGTGTTTCAGCTCCTGCCTTTGTGAGCCTGAGCACGATAAAACAAAGCAAGAACAGAGACATTTTTCACAGGCCCTAAAGGCATCTACCCCCAGGACTAGACTGGATTCTAGTATCTACCATTAATCACAGCAATGGTATCTGTTTGCTGGAATTTAAAATATGTTCCTGAACTTCGAGTTTAGGAGTTGTGACTTTTTAAAAGGAATTGCTTCTCTCTCCTTTGCTTAAAGTTCCAGCACCTTCCACCATACCTGTTAACGTTACTTCCTCCGAGAAAACAGGGGCTAAGGCATTTGCATTTATTATTTGCTAGTGTGTGGTTTTTCTGGAAAATAATGGATGTGGTCTTGTGGAGGATGTCTTCTTGGAAAATTCTGAGAAAGGTTGCTGCTCTTGGTGATAATCCAGAGCTAGACAAAAAGAAGCCCCTTTAATTTCTGTCCTTTTGCTTCTTATGTGGGATGATGTCCAAAGGAAGCATAATACTTAGAACTGACTGAATTGGTGGGGACCATGCGGAGAGACACTGCCAACCCTCTTATATGCCAAAGATATTACCAGTACTCTGTGGATGGATATGAAGTGTCTGGGTCATTTATAATATTTTTCATTGCACTAATTTTGAAACTTCCTACCACAATTTTCTCATTCACTGGTGTTATATCTCAGTTTTTTAGATTCATGTCACTTGAACATTGTGTTTCTTGCAGCTAATGTTTTCCCCCAATAAATATGAGATCTAGTTTCCGTTTTTGCATTGAGACACTGGCTGGCTGCTTAATATACAAGCAGTAGCCTTGATAGACTGAATTCTGTCTAAAAAAATGAAAAACTAAAGTCGAAGAGGAAAAATAAATACCTGCATGGCAAATGTCTGTTTTAATTATAGGAATCTCAAGGTGTTTTAGCAAAGAGGAAACAGGGTCCTATACAAAGTTCAACATAATAGGAATTAAAAAAATCTCAGAGAACCTTCTGAAAGATGAATGATGTTAAAACAAGAGAAGGTTACATAAATCAATTCTGTGAAGATCTTAAGGAACTCAAGGTCCCCTCTCCATTTGGAGTAAACTTGCCATAAAAGCACAGATTAAGAGGGGATTGCAGGCTTCTCTTTCTAAAATTCCAACAGCTGTTCAATTTCTCTTTTCCGAAGTGCCATACTAAGCACTTAGGAAAGGGCTCATGGCATCTTAAATCACAAATATATGACTTTGTAGTTTATTTTTTAAGATCACTGGGCAAATCAGCATGTTTATTCGGCAAGTGATATGCCAAGAACACACCCAAGACATTTCCACATTCTATGTGCTGTTAGGGGCTGGGTATTTGTGTCTCTCTCCAAGTTATGTGGAAAACTGTTTTCCAGTGTGATGCCTGTAGGAAGTGGTTAGGTCATGAGGGCAAATGAGGTCATGAATAGGATCATTACCTTCATGGAAAAGCCGTTTCTATGAAGGGAGGCTGTTCATCTGAAAGAGGGCAGACAGAATGTTCTGTCCAGGGGACATGGACTTCCTACAGATGGTGAATCTGCTTGAATATTGATCTCAGTGGCTTCAGTCTCCAGAATTGTGAGCAAGGCATTTTCATGCTTCAAATTACTAACACTTGTTTTTCACCCAAGCAGACTGAGGTGCTGTGCTTTACACACTCAAATCTAAAAGCCTTTCCTGAGGAATCTTGTATGAACTTTCCCTGCAGTCTGATTCTGATGTCTTTTAGGAATCACAGTGTCCTAGAGTAGAGGTGTTTTTATGGAATCTACTTAGACATGAAGTAAAGGGCATTCATTCCTTGAACTAGCTTATCTCTTTAAAGGTGATCTTTCACATTCAGATTTATTAGGTATTTCTCTAACACAGTGTGGAATAAACATCGGTCATTTATTCCAGGATGTAGTCATCAATAAGGTTTCCATGAAGAGTAGATGACTGTTCTCCTGGAAATGAATTATTATTTAGCTCTGCACCATCCCTCCAGACCTTGTGGAATATTTACATGCACACATGAACTGCTGCGTTGGCGAGGGTTATTAGTTCAAGCAACAGAAAACAGCTCCAGCTAATAGAAGCACAACATTTCCTCAAAGGTATCAGATGATTCCCAGAATGTCTAATGAGGGATGCAGAACCAAGCCAGAGATTCATGTGGCAGGACAACAGTGATCCAAATTATGATTTTGAATCAGCTTCACAGAGAATTCATTTTTCCCCACTATGCATAAACAGCAGAGATCCAGCAAGACCGGACTGTGGTCCTGGCTTGGGATAGGTCACTAGTTTTGCTGTTGTAACTCATCACAATGGAGCTTCGGAAGCCAATCTCAGCAAAGGTCTGACCTCTTTGGGAGGAAACTGATCTTTTGCTTTACTTAGAATTTTCTAACTTTGGGGGGAAAATAACATGAATATGCTGATGGGTTATAGCTATTAATGAGCAAGTATTCAAAGGGCGACTAATGCATTCGAAAAGTGGTGAATCTCGACTCCAAGCTACAGAAAACTCCTTTGGTATCTCCATCATTGGCTTTTCATAACCAAGACACCAATTTTAGCGATTTGGTTGTGTATAATTGAACTCTACACACAAGATCTGAAACATGGGTACTGATAATGTTGACCTAACCTGATGTTGACGGGATACGTGAGTACTGACCCAAATATTTCTGCTGTAGCTGGCTCTCAGGCTACATACTGCAAAACCCAGACAGAGCTTCAAAGCAATGGACAATAACAGGCAGAGTCAAATGAAGACCCCCTCTCACATTTAGATCAGTTCTGTTTCCCTAGACTTGGAAATGAAGGAGCTAAAGCATTTGTGAAATAACTCCGCTCCAGTAGGAAAGGGAAATCTGTGAATCAGATCAGGAGCAGTGAAGAGGAGATTTTGTGAGAGACAGGACTACCTGTAGAAACGTTATAAGAGCTTCCTAAACCAATGGGTGACGAGAGGCTTGAGTGCCCCTGGCTTCGGTATCACACTCTTTTACATTCTCTTTTATAATTTTGTTAATTCTGTATGCAGTATATTAAGTACAATAATTTTTAAAACATTAAATTCTAGGGACTGAGGATATCTCATTGGTAGGGCACTTGGTTAACATACTTGCATCCCTGGGCTGGATCCCCAGCAGTGAAAACCAATAAACACATGCATTCAAAGTGACACGAGTCTTTCAGGAGATTAATGGAAATGTGTCTTTTGCTAAAATTATTTTTAAAAATTCAATGTTCACTTTATGTTTGTTCATTTCATGTATGATATATGTAGATAATTTGCAGAAATGGATGTTGCTTGTTTATATTTCACTTGTCTTGTAGATATTTACCAAGTAATTTTCATAGAGTTAACCAGTTTTTCTACAACAGAAATATTCAAAATAGAAATTCGTTGGTAGTTTATAGACTTGTAACACACATAGCTTTTGGCATTTTGGCAAGACATGTAGATGAAACTTACTTCACGTTACATATGCCTTGGTAAAGTTCCATGAATACAAAAATTTTGTAAATCAGGTTTCCAGTAAACTTAAGAAATGTGATATATGCCAGAAATGATGGTGCATGCTCACAGTCTCAGCACTCTGGGAATCTTAGGCAGGATGATTGCAATTTTGAGCTAAGTTTGGGCAATTTAACAACTTAATATGACTCCATACTAAAATTAAAAATAACTAAATAGAATAAAAAGATCCGAGGATATAGCTCAGTGGCATGGCTCTGGATTTCATTAATGAATTCATTTGTAAAGTATAGTTATTCATCTTTCTTTTGGACATTTCATAGTGATATTCATGAAGAATATTTTTAAATAAACAAATCAGGTAGTTCAAACTTGTGTAAACATAATCATGCTGAGCCTACACCTAATAAGGCTATAAAGCTACCGTAGAACCAGAAATTTAAAGGTTAAAAACAAGATGCTGTTTCTCAGCTAGAAACAGCACTGGGCCTCGTGACTCAGTCCTAACTCAGCCCTGCAGAAATAAAAACAACCTCTGTGGCTGTGATATGCTGGGGATGTGCTGTGCGAGGGAACTCAGAGATAGAGCGTGCCATTATGCTAATCAGGGTTGTAAAATATGTCAGACTCAAGTCTACAGAAACCAGGTGTCTTAAAGACAAGTTGTGCAGAACAAAGATAGTTAATTAACTCTGACCTGCTGGTCACCCCTTATGAACTGACCAATAGCAGATAGATAAGATGCCCACCACTCCACACTAACTGTAATGATTGGCTTCTGTAATAAATGCTTACATTGCAGTTTTTCCCCCTTAAAAGCACCAGCCCTGCCCCAACTCAGGGTTCTCCGTTTCCACCTGTTTGGAGGACCCCGTGTACACGGAATAATAAAAACCCCTTTGTTTTTACATGAGAGCGAGGCCCTTGGAGTCTTCCTTGAGACACCGGTCTAACAGCTACAACTTCTTGAGCTCCAAGCAGGTAAAAGATAGAACATTTTGCATAGACTATAAAATCAAATACAACTTTATTTATAGATATTAACTGTATCTCGGTCATCAGTAAGAACAAAATTACTCGCAGATGGTTTAACATATTTATTAAAATCACACAAGTAGACAATAGCACCATCACCAGTCTAGATTTCTCCACACTCAAAGCCTCATGCTGCCCCCCAAGGTCCCTGGTCAGAGGTCTTGGTCATTTTGTGTCTGCTTTACATTGAAGTTGTCTTGACTGAGATCATGGAGAATACAAGGTCCTTCATGAGTATTTTCACCATGGGTGTGTGGTTGTGATATCACAGAATAAGACAGAAATAAATGCGCATTGGAAAAGGAAATACTTCTCCTGATAAGCTTCTACCTTGCCAGGCTAGATAATCACAGATTTTAAAAATTTCCAAATAAATGTAAGAATCAGTTTCAAGTGAATCACTATGCATTTCTAAAACTGCCTATGCATTTTGCAATGAACATTTTCATCTCCACCTGAACAGTGTCTTTGACTGCAGAGATGCCTAATGAGGAAAAATCCCTGCTCAGAAGCGCTAGCTTCCTTCAGACAAGGACATTCATCTCCAGTTTCCTTCCCTAGGCAAATGTTTTCTTGGTTGGAAAAATGGGTTTTTAATTCTTTTTCTTTTGTTTTTTGCCCTTCAATTTTACCCAAATATACACACATTTTTCTCATGTGTTCTTGCAGTTAGACTTTCAACATTTGCTTTTGAAGCCCGACCTACAAGAGATTTTTAATTCTACCAAGAAACAGACATCTTAACTGAGGAACATTGATGCAGATTTTGTATTTTAATAACATGTTTGATCTAGCTTAGAATTTATGAGTTTTTTCTGAAATTCATGCTTACATTAACATTAAACAAATTGAGAGAATATTCCATGTTTTTTAATACTGTCTTGAGGTTGTTCTGCCTGGAAAGATGAGCAATAGACAACTCTCACAAAAAAAAAAAAAAAACAAAAAAAAACACACACACACACACACAAAAAAAACACTTTATGATTCAATTATGAATGGGGATTGTGTTTTTACTGCCAGGGGTGATGACAGTAGTTTAAAGTGCATACGATATGATTATGTTTTTATGTGTCTGTGTTTGCTGGGAACTAAAGGTCTGCATTTTTAACTCCCGAGATACATACTATTCAAAATTGTTTCCTGGTATACATCTAATGCATCTGGGTTCAGTCAGACCCGGGCATATACTCTCACAGTGTATTATGGTTAGCTTCTTTTGTTTTGTTTTACTTTTAATCTTGAAACACCACAGATTATAAAAGGCAGAATTGTTTTTCAATACTCCTTACTTTCAAAGCCAGGCATGGTGGTACACTCCTGTAATTCCAGCACTCAGGAAGCTGATGCAGGAGAATTTTTGCATGTTAGAGACCAGTGTGGGCTACAAAGTGAACCCAAGGCTAGCCCGAACTGCATAGCGAGACCTTGTCTCAAAAAGACAAAAATAACAAAAAATGCTCCTTATTTTCAAAGGAAATTTCATATTATCACATTGAAAATGTGATTGAGTTATAAAAAACATCAAAGTGGAGAAAATTATTATCTGTAGGTCAAAAAAATCCATTATATGTTCAACCCCACGATTATATAACAAGATCTTTGAAGGCAGAAATCAATGATTAGTTTCTTATACTATTTTTTTTTTGTCTTTTTCCTTTTTATCGGTACTGGGGATCAAAGTCATGACTGCCTGCTTGCAAGGCAGGCACTTATGCCACTGAGCTAAATCCCCAGCCCCTTCTTATACTATTTTCAAAAGAGGATCATTTGCTAGTCCCAAATGCATGCCCTTTTTTTGTTTTAGAGAACAAGTGATCTTGTTTTGGCCTTTGTGGCTTTTGGTTGTGTTCTTTCTTGCAGTGATTATCCTTGCTGAAGGAGAGTTTGATGACTAACATCACTGACCAACTATATGCAGATGGGTTCATACAGTGGGTCCAAGTCCATCTTGCCTTTGCTCATCTGTGGCTGACAGAGTGTAAACTTGGTTTAATCTGGCATTTCCAGTGACTTTTGCATCTTGGAGCTGCCACTGTGATCGAGCCAAAGGCAGGTCCCAAGGTGCAGGACTTCACTCTAACTGCATAGTTCAGAGCCATCTGCAGCAGGAGGAACAGCTGACCTTGGGAAATCTGGGTATCGGCTGGGTCCATCATCCTCACCTCTGTCACCAGTTAGTGTGATAAAGTTTACTGTGGAGGACCAACTTTGGTGGCAGAAGAAAGTTTAGAATTGTGCAGAATTAATGGACATGTTTGAGTTAAGGATCCACATTGGCCCTTGAAGGTGGCTAATACTTATCTCTGACTAATCTAGAGAAAGATGCATCCAGTGCTTGGATTTATGTTGGTGGCTTTGAAAGGGTTCAAAGGCTTACACACTTGAGTACATAGGAGGGTTGTTCATTCCTACCCTCAATTTTGATTCAGTGTGTTCCAGTTTTCTCATGCAATTCTGCTCAATGCTCACAACAGCCATAAAAGACACATAAATAATTGCCATTGTTATTATACTTTATAGATGATGATGCTCTGAATTCCAGTAACATCTACATTAAAGTACCTTTGATTAACATCTACATTAACTTCACATTACGTTAACTTGATAAACCTCAAGGGCACTTTAATGTAGATGGTGCTTGAATTTAGAGCATCTAGCTGGTGATAAACATACCCCTTTATTCTCTACTTCCCCCAAATGGTAAATCGAATCACCTTCATGTAAGAACTTAAAATATGGAAAATGTTGAGGGAACAAATAGTTTGTAACTCTGTAAGTACTTAAAACATGGCATATCTTTGCTCATATATATTCTGTACTATAACCATTGTTTCTGTAGTTTAATTAAAACATTTTCTTGTTATTAAAAAAAAAAGAGTACCTTTGAACTCGTTCATCCATCCCTAAGTCCTACTCTTTCAACCACTGTATTTTGTGCCACACAAGAAATCATCGTTTTCTTTTGTCAGGAAGGTACAGAGAAGATCTTAAAGTTGAATGTGTATCTGCTGCTGCCATCACTGGGTATTTTGGAAGAGGTCTTCATAAGCCTTCAATCTCTTACCTTGAATGGCCACACGGGGGCATCCTTAGAACTGCGAGGACACACGTAATAAAATTAACACTTGATGGCAGGAGATTCGGAAGATTTTCCCTTTAGCAGAGTCTCAAAATGTGTCCCTGGCTCTAGCAGAGTTAGAATCACACGAAACTTATTTAAAATGCAAATCATTGAGTTGTTGATCAGGTGTAGTGAATCAAATTTCTGGTGGTAGAGACCAATAATCCATTTTAATAAGCCCTCTGGCTGATTACGTTACACTGCAAAGTTTTAGAGCCAATTGCACTATTGATTGTTTTATGCTAAATACATGTCTTCTTAAATCCAAGAATGCTAGTTTTTTCTTTAATTTCCCTAGTCATTTGGAGTCATAAACTTAGAGTAGATTATCATTTCAAACTGAATTTCATGACTGTTAGTCTAGGATCACAAAAATACACTCGTTGTACTTCAAGGAAAAAATTCAAAGAGGATCTCACAACACATTACGTCTAGTAAAAGAGAAGATTCCCTTCTGAGTGTCTTTCTTTGATGGATAATAATGTAAAATATGTGTTTCACTCTGGGACATGGTTAAAAAATTATATGCTTTGAAAGCTACTATTAAGATTCACTCCCACAAGCACGGAACCTCACTGTGGAGTTGCCTGAATGGAAGGGGTGAGGAGAATGGTCATTTGGGAAACGCTGAGTCCCGGGAAGAAACTTTGTCCTAGAATTGCTTGGGAAAATGAAAAGAAGCAGACAAGGCAAACATACAAAGAGACAAAAGCACCTGGAGGATTCTGTAATCTAGAGAAAAATCTTGTCACTAATAGGAGATCATCAGTTATATGACCATAAAGGAAATATTATGTCCAAACTATGATCATTTGGGTCAACTAAATACACTTCTGAGGAAAAGAATCTGCCCACTTTACCAACATTTAGCTGGAAGAGTATATTCTGCCTCTGGACTTCAGATATTCCTACTCTTAAAAAAAAAAAAAAAAATATATATATATATATATATATATATATATATATATATATATGATCTAGTACTAGTAACAAGATGAATCTGTTTTGTATCTCTTTACTCTATCTGGCTTGGGGGAATCTACCAGGAGGGGATCACTGCAGGTGGGGGAAAAGTTCTTCCTATTCTCTGGGCAGAAGATTATTCACGTGTTACTTCCCCTTGCCCCACAGAGATTCAGCCCTGAAGGCTGGTATTTCCCTTGCTCAGTTTCAGTTACTGACTGCTTGACTGCAAGGTCCCTAAACTAAATACTCCAAGGTACGAAACAAGATACAAAGTTTGACATGCTTTTCACCAAGAGGCTCACAGGATCAAGGGAAGTGTTTTCATGTAGACCAATATTCCACTAAAAATCACAAGAAAACAAGTTGAAACCATAGAAGAATCATGGGCATTACCTTCTGTGCATCTAGTAATTAGGCCTCTTCTAAAATGGAATACAATCACCCAATCCTGAGTAACAGATCAATATACAGAAATGATGATGTCATCAAACATCAACAAGGCCCAGCATGCCCCAGAGGGTGCATTGCTTCCTATAGGTGCTGATATTCCTATAGGTGGGTGATATTCAGTGCTAACCATAGCATCACTGAATACTGACCTCAGTGTTTGCTAGATGAGCGGTGTCAGGGAAAACCCTTTGAGCACCTTACCATAATTGCTGTTTCTACGAAATATGTATAGTGGACTGTTGAAGATAATTTATCAGTGGATATAAATAATTCACAATTTGATTAAACAAGGTATAAGCAAAGTGCTTAAAACCATGCAGGAAACATTCTAAACCCTCAGAACATGTATCCTGCTATCATTTCAATCCACAGTTATGGCAGTACAATTGAACTACGTCTGTAAACTCAATTATCATGCAGCAATTCATTACTTTACTGGATGCAAAAGGAGTTAAGGATAGAAAATGATCTGGTTCTTGTCTGCCTTTCCATTGACCAGAATCCTGGAGGAGCTAAAGAAAATCAAGATACATAAGCACAAGCAAGACATTGTTAGTAAAACCAATGGTACAATGTATGGTCAAAAACAGAGAAGGAACAATTTGACCTTACCTAACTTCACTGGTAGAAGAAGTGGAAAAGGAAAAAATTCACCAGCAGAAGACAGCTACATAAACGCCAGCGTGTCCACGTACACAAACACAAAACTCCACATATGCAGTTACAAAGTTATCTTGTGGACTACAACAAAGAAATTTTCTGTCAACAGGAAAGAGAGATTCCGTAAAACAATGTGCTGTTTGAAGTTTAGGTTCATAGTAATGGATACATTTATGAGCCAATCAGACTTATTTATTTATTTTGATAGCAGGTATTGAACTCAGGACCTTGTGCTTCCCAGGAAGGCTCTGTCCTGCTGAGCTATACATATGGCCCTGACAGGCTGGTTTAAAACAAAACAAAATTTTAAAAAATTGAAAACAAAAGTTAATTTATGCCACAATGTTTGACTTAAAACGGCATAGCATTAAATGAGCTGATAAAACAAAAATCCATAGCCAGTTCCAGTATCCGTAATCTGAGAGGGGACAAAATATAAGTGGAGGTCCACAGCAGGCTTTGTACTCGGATAACAGAGAGATGTGGAGCTGAAGGAAGTGGCCTGAGAATCCATAAAATATATTTAGGGAGAATGTAAGCCATCCAACTCTCTGTGGGAGCCAGGAGAAAACTGAAGCTGGATTAAATTACCAGCAGCAAAATAGACTTCTGGAGAATGGTTTGTCCACTGTTATCTCGCTAGTATTTTGGTTGGGGGAATTCTCATTTTGGAGGCTTTCCTGTGTATTATAGGATGCTAGCCAGAGCCTTGTCCTGTACCTGCTGGAGGTTGGTAGCAGGTTTCTGATGCCCAGTGTGAAAACCAAAAATGACTCCAGATATTACCAGGCTTTCAAGGGGGTAAAAGAAAGAGGTTAGCTGGTCTCTCACTGAGAAGCACTGAGCTCAGTGTTCAGTGTAAGATTTTAGAGGAGATTCTGCTTTTGAAGCCACATGTGTGCACGCACACACACACACACACATGCACACATTCAGATTGGTTAAATTTGCTGTAACATTAACTTCAGCAATCTTTGATAAAGCTCTCTGTATAGCAATTATACTGACCCTTCTTCAGAAGGACCAGTATGGTTAGCTCAGTTACCTTTCCTAGTGTGTTCAGACATTCCCTGAGTCTAGGAAAAAATGTTCTTACTCTGGACGTCATGGTTTTACAGAAAGAAAAGTGCACATACATATGTCTTTGTATACATACATATATATGTGCCTGTATATAATGCATGAGTGTATGTATTTCCATTGAAATTAGAGACATAGGTTTTGGTAAAAAGAAGTTGTTATTGCAGAAGCCATATTTTCAGCAGTTAATTCAGCAATTTACTATCTGGAGATTTTGCACGATCAAGTGGATCATGAAATTAATGGCACTGTAGTATTTGCAGTTGGGAAAGACAATTCACCCTTCAAGGGGGAAATAATGATTTTCCACAATATATCCCAGACCAGAATCACCTGTGCTTTGTGGGCATCTGTCCTGGCTTGAGTTCCAGCCAAGCAAGTTACCGCTATTAAATTGTGACCACTTGATAGCATAGGGCGAAAGAGCCTGCAGGAATCATCTGACAACAGTGAGGCTGATGGGTCAGGGAAACCCAGACAGTGAGAAGAGTCTGATTCTTCTGTAGAAACCTGTCTTCAGTTCTTCACTGGAGCCCACAAGGACTTTGGCAGCTTCTTCTATCTTTGCTGCTTCTATCTTGTGAAATTTCAGGTCATTTTCTTCAGTTACACGTCTCTATGTTGTCCACCTGTAGGACCTGCTGTGGGCTGCATGATTTTCATCTCTTCTTTCTAAGTTAAGCGTGGCCCAGTAACTCTGTGTTTGTGCCTGGTAACCCTTGGCAGAATCTAGAATCACCTGATTGAATGTTTCCCAGAGGCAGCAATTCTTACGTTATTTTCAGTTTTCACTTTGCAAATCACTGCCATGACCATTATTTACTTAGTATTTTATTGAAATTGAAAGCTTATTCTGGTGGGATTCAAACACTCACATTTATAAAATCACTATTGTGGCATTAGTGTTTCCTCTGAGAGATACTGAAATAAACTACTATTTCTAAACGGGACAGTTTCCTTCACACACTCTGGTCTGATTCCTGGCACTCTGACTGCATTGCTGGATGAGCTGCCATCACTCACCTCATGGAGTCTAAGGACATACTTCCTGCACTCTCGGTCCCCATACTTTCCCTATATAGCTTGAAAAGAATGAGCTGTGGTCCCTGTTTGTGACCTTTCTGCCACTGCTGCAGGAGGCCCTCACCTCCATCACTGCTGCTGGGTGATCCATGAGACCTGAGCTCACCATGGTACAGTGGGGTTCATATAGTGGGTGCAAAGATGACGTGATACATCCAAATCAATAAAGGCAATAAGCCTTTGACATATTGGAGGCCCTCACATGATCATCTCCATAAAAGAAAACAACCAATAAGACTCAAAGTCATCCTATGATAAAGTCATCCTATGCAAATTATGAAAAGAATGTTCCTTAACAGAATAAAGAAGTTGAATCAAAATAAATTTCTCCTGCTATAGGTTGTAAACGCTGGGTCTTTTGTTCCAATGACAAGAAAATGCAC